AACGTTGACCTACACGACGACCTGGGCCTCGAATCAATTCGGAAATACATGAAGTCAGCGTCGGAACGATACTTCGATAAGGCTATGCGTCATGATAATCGCCTTATCGTAGCCGCCGCTGACTACTCCCCGAATCCTGATCATGCAGGAGCCAGTCACCGTCGACGCCCTAGACACGTCCTTACGGATCCATCAGATCCAATAACCTTTGCACTAGACGCCTTCAGCTCTAGGAGCAGGCTTAGGGACATCGGTAACCGTACTCGTCGAACTCGACAAAGAGTTCGCCGTGCAACCTAACCCATGAATCAGCTCGCTGAGTTTCTCGCCGGATCTTGTCAGCGGGTCGCGATTCCGATCCGGTAGTAGATTCATTCGCGAAGCAGCTACTCTTGAGTTGTTAGGTCTCCTTCGGAGGCGCTCGGGCAGCTGTTAGCAAATCCCACCCCTACTGGCTGAGCCTTTGCTCGCCCACCTGTCCTGGTGAAACTGGAAAGGCCTCCGGGCCACCAGTAATCCTTCAAACATTAAAAAAAAAAAACGTTCATTTATGTGATCGAATGGCTTTTTCATAAATCTTTAGTCACCATATTTATTAAAATAATATTATTTGCTAAGAAAATTTTCCTGGAGACTAATTCAATAACAAAGACCTAGTTCCCATCGACAAAATTTGTGACTCTGATGTGTGTGAAAGTCTCTCGTGACTAAATAAAGGACCGAAAAGAAACTGGACTAGGCTTTTGATTTTTTTACTCGCCCACGTTCATTTATGTGATCGAATGTCTTTTTCATAAACCTTTAGTCACTATATTTATTAAAATAATATTATTTGCTAAGAAATTTTCCTGAAGTCTAATTCAGCCGGCAATATAATATTAAATATTATGTACTTAACATATTATATTGAATACTAGCAAGTATTCAATTATCATTATTTCACCTTAAAATATATAAACAAACACAGCTTACTGTTTATTTTAAGGGTTTATACATGTTTAAGTAATTTTTATATCTTTTTGTCAACAGGGGCAAGCCATACTGTATTCGAAGGAAGAAACATAATAATATTCTTATTACCAAAAAACAAAGTAATCCTGCAGTGACCCGAAGCGTGATGGCGATTTATCAACTCATATTAGTACACAGTAATGCAGACATTATGACCTATTGATGTGACTATCAGTTATACTTCCGACTTATTCCGTGGATTTGCCCAAAAATATTATTATACTTTAAGTGAAGTCGTCGTGGCCTAAAGGATAAGACGTCCGGTGCATTCGTGTGTAGCGATGCACCGGTGTTCGAATCCCGCTGGCGGGTACCAATTTTTCTAATGAAATACGTACTCAACAAATGTTCACGATTAACTTCCACGGTGAAGGAATAACATCGTGCAATAAAAATCAAACCCGCAAAATTATAATTTGCGTAATTACTGGTGGTAGGACCTCTTGTGAGTCCGCACGGGTAGGTACCACCGCCCCCCTATTTCTGCCGTGAAGCAGTAATGCGTTTCGGTTTGAAGGGTGGGGCAGCCGTTGTGACTATACTGAGACCTTAGAACTATATCTCAAGGTGTGTGGCGCATTTACGTTGTAGATGTCTATGGGCTCCAGTAACTACTTAACACCAGGTGGGCTGTGAGCTCGTCCACACATCTAAGCAATAAAAAAAATAATAAAAAAAAAACCAAACTTTGCCCTAACCTCATGTCTCATACCTATCTTTATGTAATATAATTAATATATAATCTGATTTTATAATCTTTGATTTAATTT